TACAAACATGTCAGTGACACGGGTCTGTAGTTTAATGCTTCTGTCTTCCCCTTTTTTTAAAGTTGGGACTACATTTGCGTCTTCCATGCCTCAGGCATCTCCCCTGTTTCGTGAGTTTTGGAATATTGTTGTTGGGGTACCAAGCCCCTCTGCTCCCTCTTCAACCCCCAGGGGAGAGTTACGGGCCCCTTGCCTTTGAGGTATCTAGCTCACTCAGAAGCCTCTTCCTTTTCCTGGGTTTTGTGCACTGTGTCCGCTTTTGGTGGTGTGCCCCACCCTCCGTCTTTTGGAGTCCCTTCTGTTTCCTCTGTAAAACACTTCTTTGAATCTCTTTTTGAGTTCTTACTATTTCCCCCGGTCTTTTCCTGTTGTCTCTCCCCTTCCCTTTCCCTAGCCTGTTTACCGGTCCTGACGTGTTTTCCTCCTGTGTGGCTGTACAAAGTTTGGGTCAGATTTGGCTTCGCTGCTATGTCATTTCATATTGCTTTGGGCCCCCTTTTTATTGTGCATTTCTTTTCGGGTTTTACGATGTTCTCCTTATTCTCGGGTTTTCCTTTGCCTTCTATTTTTCTTCCTTTCCCCTACCCCTTTGGGTTTTTTCCCTCCCTGCACCTTTGGGTAACCATGGGCTCACCCTGGCTTTTTCATTCCCTGTTCCCCTTGGGTACAAACCTCCCCTCCCCCCCTTTGCATTTTATTGTACATATTCCATCTTCTTAAGGGTTTCCCCTCCCAGTTCTTGTCCCACTAAACCCCCGTTGGTAGTTCCTCTTTCCGTGTGCCCCCCTTTTTGTAGTTTTTGGGTTTATTCGCCTGGCCTTCCTGCTTTTTCCCTCCACTTGTAGCTCTACGTGATTCGAAGCTTAAACCACATGGTCCCTGCCCCCAAGGGGTCTTTATATGTGATGTCCTCGATATCTGCACTACTGAAGGTGAATACTATCCAGCCTTGCTGGTTCATCCTCTCCTCTCTCTCTTGTAGTGTCCCTTACTGTTGGGACATGAAGTTCTCCGTACCACCTCCATATCTTAGCCCTCCAAGTATCTTGGCCCCCGTGGGTCCAAGTTCTCCCCAAACTATCTCCTTGTGGTTAAAGTCACCCATGTCAGGGCTTTTCCCCGCATGCTGAGTCTTTGGCCCTCTGCTATGTGTCAACCATCGTCTTTGTCTCGTCGTCTCTTGCCTTGGGCCCCCTGCTGTTCTGTGGGGGTTATAACATGCTATTACCACCCTTGGGACCCCCAGAGTGAAGTGTTCCCCCTATGTAAATTTACTTTTTTTCCCGCTTCTTCTCTCTCCAGCTCAAAAAAATTCCAGCGATTTTTGATCAGCAAAAGCCACTCCCCCACCCCCCCCCGTTCCCTGTCTTTCCTCAGGATTTGGTATCCGTTGGAAAGATGGGACTGTTATCATACCTGTAAGCTTGGGTTTTTGTGAGAGCTATATGTCCGGGGGATGCTTTTTTGACTCTTTCTTGCCCCCTCCCCCCCTTATTTGTTATTCCATCAGCGTTTTTTGTACCCTACCCTTTAGTTTCCTTTCCCAAAACTGTGGTTTGGGGGGCCGTGAGGGGGGGAGGAAAACCCGGTGGGATACTGTGGGGTTTTATGTTGGTGTTGGGGGGGAGGCTGTGGGTATGGATTGTAGGGTGTGTTTGGGGTGGTGTGATAGGTTTTATGGTTCGAGAGTAGTTGGTGTGTGCTTGCCCCTTTTGTTCTGTCCTGCCTTTACAGACCTCGGGTTTCCCTCCTTTTCTCTTTTCCCGCTCCTTTCCTTTTTTGTCCTCTCCCCCACTGCGTCGTTCTGATTTTTTTCTGTCTTTTGCTAGGGGAAAACCCCCTTGTACTCTTCCGGTATTTCAATCGTGGTTTTCTTGGAGGATCCGTTCCGCACTGTTTCCGTCCGGAACAGCTGTTGGTCGGTTTCTCACCCTTTGAGTCCCCCCTATTCCTGAAAATTTACAACTCGTCCCTTTTTCACTATTTTTGTTTGATTTTCTCAATCCCTTCCCTTTTTCCTGCTTCCTTTTGTGTGTGTCCTTTCCTCTCTCTCCCGAAGCCATGGATAAACATGATTTTTCCCTTTCTTCCCCGCATTGCCTCACCCCCTGTGGCTCTGGATCCTGCCCGTATGTGGTCAGTTTTCTCCCTTGATTTTCCAGTGGCTCTTGATAGCCCCTTTTTGTGCCTCAGCATTCGACCTGTGGTTTTGTGTGTGTGTGTGTGTGTGTGTGTGTGTGTATGTGTGTGTGGTGTGTGTATGTGTGTGTGTGTGTATGTGTGTGTGTGTGTATGTGTGTGTGTGTGTATTTTGTGTGTGTGTGTATGTGTGTGTGTGTGGTGTGTGTGTGTGTGTATGTGTGTGTGGGGGTGTGTTGTGTGTGTTTGTGTGTGTGTATGTGTGTGTGTGTGTGGTGTGTGTGTGTGTGTGTGTGTGTGTGTGTGTGTGTGTGTGTGTGTGTGTGTGTTGTAATCCAGTACATTAAGTGTGTGCACTCACCTGTCATCTTGAGGTAGACGTTGCTGTTCGTGGGTCCAGGTGAGTGAGGCATTGGGCTGAGAGTCGATTTGGCACGAAAGTCGCAGTGCCTCCCCTGTCACCACTGTCACGTTGCAAGGCGACAAAATGAAGTTCTTGCTCAAACCTGAAATGAACAAAATAAAGTGAAAAAATTCAATGCGTCTTACATGCCAGATGTTTGTTCAAGTCGTACCCTTCAGAGGTTCCCTGATGCTGGTGAGGGGCTCCTGATCTAGGGAATTAGAGCTAGCTTCCACTTCCCTGGATCGAACTTGAATACCTCCAAATTCCCAGAAACTGTAAGACCCCTATGAGTTTAGTGCTTCCCCATAAATACAACACTAATAATATTACTACGAACTGAATACAACTCGCAATTTCAACCCCAAGAACAATAATAAGCTAGACAACCAGAACTATGATAACAATTACCCTGTGTAAGCTAGATAACAATTACCCTGTGTAAGCTAGATAACAATCACCCTGTGTAAGCTTTAATAAACATCACCCTGTGTAAGCTAGATAACAATCACCATGTGTAAGCTAGATAACAATTACCCTGTGTAAGCTAGATAACAATCACCCTGTGTAAGCTAGATAACAATCACCCTGTGTAAGCTAGATAACAATCACCATGTGTAAGCTAGATAACAATTACCCTGTGTAAGCTAGATAACAATTACCCTGTGTAAGCTAGATAACAATCACCCTGTGTAAGCTAGATAACAATCAACCATGTGTAAGCTAGATAAAAAATTACCCTGTGTAAGCTAGATAACAATATCCTGTGTAAGCTAGTTAACAAAATTTCCCTGTTTTAAGCTAAATAACAATCATCCCGTGTAAGCTAGATAACAATTACCCTGTGTAAGCTAGATAACAATCACCCTGTGTAAGCTAGATAACAATTACCCTGTGTAAGCTAGATAACAATCATCCTGTGTAAGCTAGATAACAATTACCCTGTGTAAGCTAGATAACAATTACCCTGTGTAAGCTAGATAACAATCATCCTGTGTAAGCTAGATAACAATCACCATGTGTAAGCTAGATAACAATCACCCTGTGTAAGCTAGATAACAATTACCCTGTGTAAGCTAGATAACAATCATCCTGTGTAAGCTAGATAACAATCACCATGTGTAAGAACATAAGAACATAAGAACATAAGAACGAAGGAACACTGCAGAAGGCCTACTGGCCCATGCGAGGCAGGTCCAAGTCCCTACCGGCTTAAGCCAATGCACCCAACCTAGTCAGGTCAGGTCACATTGACTTAAGGGAGGAACACGGCAACCGACCTGTTAGCACAAGCTATCAGGTCTAACTCACACCCACCCACATCTACTCATGTATTTATCCAACCTATTTTTAAAGCTACACAACGTTTCTGGCCTCTATAACGGTACTTGGGAGTTTGTTCCACTCATCCACAACTCTATTACCAAACCAGTACTTTCCTATATCCCTCCTGAATCTGAATTTTTCCAACTTAAAACCATTGCTGCGAGTCCTGTCTAGGCTAGATATTTTCAGCACACTATTTACATCCCCTTTATTTATTCCTGTCTTCCACTTATAAACCTCAATCATATCCCCCCTAATTCTACGTCTTTCTAGAGAGTGCAGTTTCAGGGCCCTTAGTCTATCCTCATAGGGAAGGTTTCTGATACATGGGATCATCTTTGTCATCCTCCTTTGTTACATTTTCCAGAGAATTTATATCCATTCTGTAATACGGTGACCAAAACTGTGCAGCATAATCTAAATGAGGCCTAACCAAGGATGTATAGAGTTGAAGAACAACCTGAGGACTCCTATTATTTAAAGCTTCTTGATATGAAGCCAAGGATTCTATTAGCTTTATTGCGAACACTTATGCACTGTTGTCTTGGTTTCAGATTACTGCTAACCAGAACTCCTAAATCTTTTTCGCAATCCGTAATATTAAGATCTACATTATTTAGTTTATATGTGGCATGGTTATTGTCCTGTCCAACATTTAGAACTTTGCATTTGTCTATATTAAACTGCATCTGCCACTTCTCCGACCACTGCATCAGTCTATTCAAATCTTCCTGGAGTGCTCGAATGTCTCGTCAGAATGAATTCGACGGCCTATTTTGGTGTCATCGGCAAACTTGCCGATGTCGCTCTTTATGCCCTCATCTATGTCGTTTATGTAGATTGTGAACAGCAGGGGGCCCAACACTGACCCCTGTGGAACACCGCTCGTGACGCTTCCCCACTCTGATTTCTCCCCATTTATGCAAACTCTCTGCTGCCTATTTGTCAACCATGCCTCTATCCAGGAAAAAATTTCTCCTCCTATTCCATGTGCTTTAATTTTCCTCAATAGTCTCTGATGTGGGACCCTGTCAAAAGCCTTATCTGAAGTCCATATACACAATATCATATTCATTACATGATCTACCTCCTCAAATACCTTAGTGAAAAAAGTTAATAAATTCGTAAGGCAGGAAACGCCCCTTTGTAAAACCATGCTGAGATTCGTTGATTAATTTATGCTTTTCAAGGTGGCTACGAACTGCCTCGGCAATTATTGATTCCATAAATTTTCCCACTATGGAGGTTAGGCTTATTGGTCTATAGTTCGAAGCTAAGGACCTGTCACCTGTTTTGAAAATAGGTATCACATTTGCCATTTTCCACTTATCGGCACCATGCCAGTTTGTAGTGATATGTTGAAAAGATTAGCCAAAGGTGTGCTAAGTCTCCTCTTACATTCCTTTAGAACCCTTTGCATACAGTTCATCAGGGCCTGGGGATTTGTTAGGTTTTTAATTTATCTATTTGCCTAAGGACCATGTCACTTGTGACCCTAATAGTGCACAGTTTATTATCGTCCTGTTCTACATAATTTATCATTACTGGAATATCACTGGTATCCTCCTGTGTAAAAACTGAGAGGAAGTATGTGTTAAAAATTCTACACATTTCCTTATCACTGTCAGTGAGCTGACCCGAGGAACTTTTGAGTGGGCCTATCTTGTCCCTGATCTTACTTCTGTAATACCTGAAAGAATCCTTTTGGGTTAGTCTTCGATTCTCTTGCAACTTTAACCTCATAATCTCTTTTTGCTTTTCTAATTCCCTTTTTTATTTCTCTCTTTAACTGAATATATCGATTTCTTAATTGCCCCTCTCCTCTTTTGATTTGCCTATATATGCCTCTCTTTTGACCAATCAGATATTTTAATCTATTGTTCATCCATTTAGGATCATTTTGTTTGATCTGATTTCCCTATTTGGAACATAATTTGACTGAGCAGCTAGAACTAAGCCCTGGAAAGCATCATATCGGCAACCATCACCACCTACCTGACCCCTAGTCAGGTCATTCCAGTTCAGCCCACCTAAGTAATTTTTCAGTCCTATGAAATCAGCCAAGCGAAAGTCAGGGACGGAGACTTGATTGCCATTATTAGGGGAATTCCATGATATGTTAAAACTGAGTGATTTGTGATCACTCTCCCCAAGCTCATCATTAACCTCAAGATTATTAATTAGTGTTTCCCTACTGGCAAGAACCAAGTCAAGGAGGTTATTTCCCCTATTGGCTCTGTCACAAACTGTTTTAAAAAACAATCCTGGATCGTATCAAGAAAGTCACCCGACTCTAAATTTCCTGTCAAATTGCTCCAGTCAATCTGTCTATAGTTGAAATCTCCCATTAGCACAACATTTCGTATGTGGATGCCTTACGAATTTCGTCCCATAGAAGTTTACTGCACTCCCTATCAAGATTTGGGGCCCTGTAAATCACACCCAAAATTAGTTTTTCTCGGCCCTCCGAGAAGCTGTAACCAAACAGATTCAGTGGCTGACGCTTCTAATTTAATATCTTGTCTAACACAACAATTTAAATTGTCTCTGACATACATCGACTACTCCACCACCTTTCCTGTTGACCCTGTCAGTGTGGAAATAATTTATAGCCTTGTATGTGACATTCAGAGGGCATCTCTCTATCTTTCAGATTGAGCCAGGTCTCTGTTATAGCAATAATATCTATGTTTCCTGCACTTGCAATTAATCTTAGCTCATCTATCTTATTTCTAACACTCCTGCTATTAGTATAGTAAACCTTAAGGGAGCTAGTCCCTTGCTGCCCTCTGCTGTCCCCCTTTGTTTGCTGACCTGTTCTATTGTCTTTATTTATAACTTCATGCTGAATGCCTTTTATACATTTACTGTTTCCAACCCTAGTGTTTGCAACCTGCTTGTTTCCCACACACACCCATACCTCTATCTTCCATCCAGTTTAAAATCATAGGCATTTCACCAAGGGCCTTCTCAATCGAGTCTGCAAGTGCTCCCACCACCCCTGCCCCAGAGAGATGAACCCCATCCCTTGCATACATATCATGTTTGCCATAAAAGTTGTTCCAGTTGTCAATGAATGGGATTGCAAGTTCCTTGCAGTATCTGTCTAGCCAGCAATTTACACCAATTGCCCTAGACAACCATTCATTTCCTACTCCCCTTCTAGGCAAGATGCTACATATGATTGGGATCCCTCCCTTAGACTTAATGAAATCCATAGCTGACCTGTACTTATCTAGCAGCTCTTCTCTCCTACCCTTCCCAATATCATTTCCACCAGCACTGAGACAGATAATGGGCTTGTCCCATTACCTGACATGATATTATCCAGTCTGTTGACAATGTCCCCAACACCAGCTCCAGGGAAGCACACTCTATCTCTCATCTTCTTATTCCTATTACAAAAAGCACGGTCAACATATCAAACCTGAGAGTCACCACCACAAGAATGCGCTTACCTTCATTAGCAGGGGCAGTAGTACCCTTACCTTCACTGGCCACTGCAGTACATTCATCCTGGAGAACAGAAGCGATTTCCCACCTTCAGATCTTCACTCTTAACTTTCCTTACTCTGATGCGCCTCCCATTACTGTGAACAACTCGCCACTTGTAGCAGGTGCTGGGCTGCACCTCACTGCTGGTAGCCGTTGCTACCTCCCCACCTACAGCCTCCTCACAGTGAGAGACAGACTGCACCTCACTGCTAGAAGCCTCATTCCCCACATCTCCAACCACCTCACACTCTCTCCCAGGCCCATTGAGGTGGACCTTCAGCC